GTGGAAGAGTCATTAACTGCTTGCCATATGCAGATGACACAACCTTCCTTACTTATTGACAAATATCAAAGATCACAGCTTTCAGTATAGATTGCACTTTAATGTAAAGAAAACAAAAATCCTCACTACTGGACCAATAAATAACATCATGATAAATGGAAAAAAGAGCAAAGTTTTCAGACTTCAGTTTGCTTGAATATACAATCAATGCTCAATGTGCAGCAGTCAAGAAATCAAATGATGTACTAGGCAAATCTTTTACAAAAGACCTCTTTTAAGTGATTTAAGAGCAAAGATGTCAGTTTAAGGACTAAGGCACCCCCGACCCAAGCTATGATATTTTCATTCACCTCAGAGTCCCTATACAGGGTCACTATGAGTCGGAACCAACTTGATGGCACTTAACAACAACATAAGTAAGTGAAAGTTGGACAATAAATAAGGAAGACTGTAGAAGAATTGATATGTTTGAATTATGGTGTTGGTGAAGAATACTGAAAGTACCATGGACTGCCAGAAGAACAAACAAATCTGTCCTGGAAAAAGTACAGCCAGAATGCTTTTTAGAAGCCAAGATGCCGAGACTTTTTCACTCATACTTTGAAAGTGTTGCAGGAGAGAACAATCTCTGGAGAAGAACATCATGCTTAGAAAAGTCAATGAAAAAGAGGAAAAGACCCCCCCAAGATGAACTGACGCAGTGGCAGCAACAGTGGGCTCAAACATAACAATTGTAGGATGTTGCAGGATCAGGTAGTGTTTCATTATACATAGGGTCCCTGTGAGTCAGAATTGATTGGATAGTATCTAACAACAATCGCAACCTTAGAAGTAATTCTTACTCTATCAAATGATGAAATCCATTTGTCAGTTCAAAGTAGTCAGGAGGGATTTAGTTTGCAGTGTCACAATAGCATTTTCACCAAATAGGAGTTTGAGTAGGTCTGTTGAAGATTTGGCATCTGGCCTGTTCTTCTCTTCTTGGCTGATGTTCTTTTGGGCACCAGAACATTGAGCATTAATGAAGGCAGACAATCCTGTGGTCATCTTTCCAGTTATATGGATCATCCTCAGTACCAGAATATCAGTGCTTCATACTATCTCACAGTGAGATGGTATGTTTTATAGCAGGCTTAACCGTGCAAGCACCATGAGCAGCGACTGTAAGGGACCATTGATACAGGCAGTTCACATTGATTCTGTCTGAAGTTGCTCAGTAGGAAAGTGTCTATACTAATAAAGTTCACAGGGGATAAGTAACTTGTAAGCAGAACTAGACTGTTGAACAGTCTTCTGTTCAAGCTCAGTGCTCTTCCATTTTGTCTACTCAAAAGCAGGGCACTCTGCTAGAGATCTAGAAATTGAAAACAGTTCTCCTTTTGTATGTGATGTCTGAAAGGTCAAGTAACTAATCTGATGAACCATTTGGTTAACTGAGTATATAGAATTTTTTTTTTTTTTCATTCCATAGTTGCTATTTATGATTACTGTTTCTGGCTATTAGGGGTTTTATTCATGTGTGTATGTTTCATCTAAAAAGAGGTATGTCTGCCTTCTTGATTGAATAAGAAAAAATGCTAAGAGTATGTGGTAGGAGGCTGATGTCAATAAATTCAATAAGCCTTTCCCTTTTTATTTATTGTTGTGTTCTTCCAGCCCTCCTTAGTTATGTTAAATACTCCTGACCTTTTCCCCTGCTTGCTTTTCAGAGCCTAAGCATTCTTGCAAAGGCTTCCAATGTGATTAGCATTGATGCTGCTGAGATTGCTTGGAAACTAGATGGTCAGAGATAAATTGTAGGTTGCAGGCTTTTACATCTGCCTTTTCCCTGGTTTGAACATGCTGGTGGGCCATATGGCAAAGTGCCTCACACAAAAGCCAAGAAGCACTTTCTGGCTGGGGTCCAGATAATTGCTTGCTTCCAGTGTAAAGTGGAGGTTATAGTGCTTTATGTTTGATTTACTAGGTACTAATGGGATTAATCCTTTACTTGAAATCACATGGGAGTTGTGTGTGTGTCTGGAATCCAATTCCAGTAATGTTATCAGTATTCCTTTCAGGGAAAGGTTTTATTAGACTATATTTTGTTTCACTCTATATATGGATAGAAAAACCTTTCCTTTGCAAATAAAAACACTTTTGTGTAGAACAGAGTGAGGTTGCCTGACTGGCTTTTTTTGTTTGTTTTCTTTAATAATCTGCAATTATCATTCAGTTAGATGTGTTCTCCCAAGATGCAGAAGGGTTATTATGACCTGTGGTTATACACATCCTTGTTAACTCAAAATATATCTTCAAATTTACATACCCAGAAATCATAAAATCGACATCTAAAAAAAACATTATTAAATGGAACAATTGGATGAGAATATCTCAATCTCTGAATCTGTCTCTTTGTATTTGTCTGAGTCTCTATCTCTCTGATTTTCTGACTCTTGTGCATTCTCCATCTGTGTCTGCTTGCCTGCCTGCCTCTAACCCCTTATCTGTCTGCATCTCTTGCCTGGCTATCTGTCCTGTCCCATCTGACCTTCTCCCCCCTTTCCTTGGCTTTGTCCTCAATCTGTGTTGTTCTTCTTCCCCTAGCCCAAAAACTTGTGAAGACTTTCACTTGTGAAGACTTTCATTTGGCCTATATATTTACTTTTCTGCTTAGTTTTACCTGCTGTTGTCCCTGGATAATTAGTTTTATTTGGGTGGCTAAAATTACTACTTTAAAAGTTCACGACAGCCAATTCTGAGAATTGACATAGGGTTTTTTTAAAAACAAAAAAACTACTTAATGTACCCCCACTTGCTCTGTACCTTCCCCCACTTTACCTCCCAGTTAGAAAGATAGAAAAGTATATTGGATTGTATAGTGATTTGAAATTAGGCTTATAATAACTATAAACTGAATAAATTAAGATTCTACCTTATAAAGAGATTTGGGCCTACAAAGTAAACAGTGGTGTTCATTTATAGTAGATGATAATAACAACCCTGTAATCTTTCAGTATAGTCTGTATCACTAGGGTAATGAATTTTCAGTCATTAGAGAGTCCTAAGATTAATAATTTTCATCATGGCTGTGAAATATGTGGCTTTTTATTTGATTTGAAATACAGCCGAACACGTAGAGAACCTAGAGACATATTTTCATTTTATATTTTATATTTTTTATGGACACCAACCATTGTTTTCTCTCTCTGCAGTAGTTCTATTGAAGAGGAATTTTTTCACATAATTGAATTATGAAGTACATCAATTCATTCTAGAAGTAGGTGGTGACTGCTTTTATGTTCCTACTGCTATTAAGTAGTAAGCCTAGAAAGGGATTCAGCAGTAGATCCCAAGATACTCATTTAGTAAATTATTTACTTATGTTGTTGTTGTTGTTAAGTGCCATCAAGTCGATACTAACTTATAACGACCCTGTATAGGGTTTCTGAGGAGTGACTTATGGGTTGAACTGTGGTTAGCAATCCAGTGCCACTGCAGGACTCCTTATTTATTTTTACAGGATGTTTCTTCAGACTGCCAATTGGCATCTTTAATTTGACTTGAACTCTTGTCTGGTGGACACGTTACAGAAGAAACCAAGCTGAAACCTTTACTCTCAAAGAGCTTTTCTTTTCGTAGTCAGCTGGATTTAAAGAGTATGTGTGCTATACTTATTTAACAGATGAGTAAAAATTATCACATAGGGACTCTTATCCTGGAATCCTGGTGTGGTGCTGTAGGATACGCACTGGACTGCTAATCGCAACGTCAATGATTCAAACCCATTAGCTGCTCCTTGGAAACCCTATACATGGTCCCTATAAGTCAGAACTGACTCAATGGCTCTTAGCACCAACTGACAAATTCTTAGACTGTCTTTAAAGTATTGAGTGTTTAGATTTGGTTAGAGTATGATTTTCTTTAATGTTAGTATTCTTTTTAGTAAATAGTTATTCACATAGATTTTTTATTTCCCAAGTTGAACCTAATATATAATCTCGTATCACTCAAAACAGCATCATTTGAAAGCTGCATTTTCTTCCCTTTTCCTAATTTATTTCAGTTCCTCAATAGGATTTTCTCATGAAATTCATTTTTCCTTCTTTTCATAGTTACATAAGTTTTCTTCTCTTACCATGAAAACTTTTACCCATTTTAGCACTTATTAAAGTGTACTTTTACTTGGAGGCTTTTTAGTTTTAAAAGTAAGATTATCTGACTAGGTCCAGTGAATGACACCTCATCATTTCTAGTCACCGAACCTCTATAGGTTTTAAATGCTTTTGGAAAATTCACTTGTGTGCCCAAAGGCATGCTCTTGTGTTTGAAATATTTTAGAGAGCTACATACTCAGGTCATCTGCTTCTGTAGCTCTGGTTTTCTTTCCTTGAGATAAATTGCATTATGTGTTACCAATAACAAGGCCATGTCATTTTAAAGAAAACTAGATTAAGTAATGCAAGTCCAGGTTACTGGAAACTAGATGACATGACATAGGCATTTTTTACTGTTTTTGTTACCATGCAGAGGACATATTTGTTTAATTTACAATGTCACTCAGTCCCCACTATCTTGTCATACCCATTCATCCCTCCACCCCCCCTCCCCCCAAAACAATCAGACATGGAGTTTTTTCAGATGCCATTTTTGTTCAACCATTTAACTACCTAGTAATATTATAAATTATGGATTGTATTTGCCTTTGGGAAATAGCCACACATTAACTTGCTGACCCTAATTGACTTTAGGAGACCAGATGGTGCCTTCTGCCTGGAAAAATGTATTAGAGAAAGAGGTTATTAGAAAAAGCCATCTGACTAGAAAGAGCAACTTTGAGGAAGCCTAGGTTATGTTGGCCTCAGACCTCTCCAGATACCATTTGAATCCAAACCCATTATTCAACCATTTTAAAGAAGAACTGTTTCATTTTTCCCTTGATGGAAATAGATTTCATATTTTGCAAATCTTTAAGGCATTTTAAATCATCTTCCAGCCTTGTTTATTTTTGTCTCTTGCAGGTTGTTTGAAGGACGTTCCTCAAGGAAGCCTGAGAAGCTTAAAACGCTCTTCTGCTACTTCAGAAGAGTCACAGAGAAAAGTAACTGCCTTTTATTCTTACTGTAATTTTCCTGTCAGGTGACATGTCAGGACCATTGTGTGTTTAAAATATCTCTTCAACCCAAATCAAGTTGTAACAGTTGACTATGATAAACCATATATTTGCTGTTTTATTTTGAATTAGTAGTCCCATTTTCTTTTAATTGTCACTTTGTATTTTGTTTTTTCACTTCATTTTTTTACCCAGTTAAGTATTGATGATACCAAAGGATATAAACAGATATTCATAAATATTTATAGGAAGACTTACAAAACAGTTACCAAGAAACATATCCAGCAAAGTAACAGGTTGTTGCTCACCAATGTTCACTTTACTACACAAGGTTTATTCTAGAAGTTACCCAACTCTCTGAAGCTATCCAATTCTTCCTTCCACAAAAGCTAAGCAAACGTTCAGTAGCTGATGAAGTCATGTTTTGTTCTGACAGCCAGAGAAAGATTTTTAAAGAACCGTCTCTACTTTTCTGGCCTGTGTTACAGCACCAGATATTTGTTGTTCTTAAGTGCATGTTGTGCATAAACATACATTTGTCTGTATGATTGTATGTGTTGTATGTATGTATCTGTCAGGGTCCTTATAGACACTGAAATCTAACCAATGTGGTATACATGAAAGACTTTTGATAAGTAAAAATTAATTTGATACTTAAAAAATTGACCAGTAAATATGCTTTAAGTGTTCGTTATGTAAACTAACTGTCATAATTAGTCTAAGTTGATTTGTGTAGGTCAACTATTCATTGCCTTTTTACCTATCTTTGTCTTTTATTCTTTCTCTGAGTCTTTGTAAAGTTTATATACTTGGTGTTTACATGCTTGTCTTTTTCTATTGGACTTTGACCACCTTGCTTTCCCTGAAGCCGCACATAGCAACAAACAGAAGGCATACACAAAGTCACAGTACCAAAAAGAATTGTTGGCTTTCTGTCATTTTAAGAAGTAGCATAAGATCAAGAACCAGTGTTATGGAAAGAAGTCCATGGTACACTAAAGGCATTAACAAAAATCAGATCTCCAGTAATTGACAGAATACCAGTTGAAATATTTCAACAAACTGTTGATGCTCTGGAAACACTCACTAGTCTAGTCCAAGAAATGTGGAAGATAGCTAGCTACCTGGACAATGAACTAGAAAGAAAGATGATTCAACAAAAAGTGGAAATTACCAAACAATGTCACTAATATCACATACAAATAACATTTTGCTGAAATAATTCAAAAGTAGTTGCAACAATACATTGACAGGGAGCTGCCAGAAATTCAGACTGGATTCAGAAGAGGCCATGGAATGAGGAATATCATTATTGACCTCAGATAGATTTTGGCTGAAAGCAGAGAATACCAAAAATATATTTACTTGTGCTTTATTGTCTATGTAAAGACATTCAACTTTGTGGATCATAACAAATTATAGATAACATTGCGGAGATTGATTATTCCAGAACACTTCATTGAGAAACCTGAACATAGACCAAGAGACAGTTTGAACACTAGGGGATATTGTGTGATTTTTAAATGAAGAAATGTGTGCATTGTGGTTGCTTCCTTTCACTGTATTTATTCAATCTGTATTCTGAGTAAATAATCTGAGAAATTGAGAACTATATGAAGAAAGCAGCATCAGGATTGGAGAAAGACTCATTAACAGTCTCCAGTAGGCAGATGATATAATTAACCTTGCTTGCTGAAAGTAAAGAAGACTTGAAGTACTTACTGATGAACATGAAAGACTGTGGTCTTTAGCATAGACTACAACTCAATGTAAAGAAAGCAGGAACACAACTGGGCCCACAAAAAAAATCATAATAATTGGAAAAAAGATTGAAGTTGCCAGGAATTTCATTTTACTTGTACCCACAGTCAGTGTTGTACATTGAAGCAGCAGTCAAGAAATCAAATGCTATATTTCATTTGGCAAATCCACTGCCAAAGACTTCTCTGAAGTGCTAATCAAAGATGTCACTTTGAGGACTAAGGTGCCCCTTACCTAAGCCGTGCTATTTTCAATCATCACCTGTGCATGTGAAAATTGGATAATGAGTAATGAATAAAGAAAATGATCAAAGAAGAATGGATACATTTTAATTGTGGTATTGACAAAGAGTATGACGAATATCATGAACTTCCTGAAGAAACAACAAATCTGTGTTGGAAGAAGTACATTAAACAAGATTCATTAACAACTTATATGCAGATGATATATGCCTGCTGAAAGTGAAGATGACTTAAACTAATTTTCTATTTCTGGGATTCCCTGGATTCTCTAGAAGAGATGATATGGTTATAGAGGATTTTTTTTTTTTTTTTTAAGTATGAAAGTTGCCCCTTCTTCAGTATTTGCCTCCAACTGAGATTGCATTACCAAAGGAACAAAAATTGGTTAGTTTTTAAAATTCTGGCTCTTGGCAAACTCCTCTTGCTCAGTATTTATTTGGGGCCTTGTACCTAACTGAACTGCCAGTATTTCTCTCTGGACTATGGTGGTAGTGGTGGTTGGTGGTTACGTGCCATGGAGTGGGTTCTGATGCATAGCGACCCTTAAACAGGGTTTTCGAGGCTGTAAATCTTTATGGGAGCAGAAAACCTCATCTTTCTTCTGCAAAAGAGCTGGTAGTTTCGAACTGCTGACCTTGCGGCTCACAGCCTGATTTGTAACCACTGCACTACCGGAGTTCTGGACTATAGCAGGGAATTTGTTGACTTGTACTGTAGCAAGGGTATTAAAAAGCTTTGGAGGTGTACTGTACACCTTCCAGTCCTACAGTTTTTTTCATTTCTTAACTTAATTGTATTTTCTTGCTGTTCGTCTCCATAACACCTCAAGGGTTTCACTTTTGAAGAAACAATTATGATGGGAATACTAGTCTTGAAAGGAGACATACTGTACATAATCAGGGAAAAGAAAGGACTTCTCCATCTTGATATTTTGCTGTAGATGGCTAGTTTTGTTTCTCATAGAGAAATCTGACTCACCTGTCATGCTGCTCCTAAGGAACTCCTGTTGTAAGCAGCTCTTCAAGAGTGGAACTTTGTGTAATCTTGTTGGGACTATGTAAAAGGAAGAAAGCCACAGGACTGCTCGTTCAGTCTTGGGAAGAGCTCCATGATTTTGCACAAGGAAACATGACCTGAAGCTTATGTATGGACACCTTTCTATCAATCTTCAATGACTGAATGTTGTATGATAGTCTTCCAAAGAAGGGGTGTGGAATATTCTGGTTTTACAACAGATTTTCTGCTAATTTCATTTTTGGAAGCACAGATTCCAAATCTCTTGTGTATAACCCTTATTAACTTTGTTTCCTACTTAAATACCTTGTATTAGTTAATGATTCATGTTCAGCATTATTTCAATCATTTGTCATTACAGAAAGAAAAATACTTAGAGAAATACTTATATTTGTGTTTTAAATAAAACTGGTGGTGTTTTTAAAGTGCCATCATATTGGTTCCTACTCATATTGGCCCTGTATAGGGTTTCCGAGGAACAACTGGTGAGTTTGAAATGCTGACCTTGTGGCTAGCAATCCAGTGCTGATCCTACCAGGAGTCCAAAACTGGTATAGGAAAGTCAAAAGTGAAAAAAAAAAAAAGGGCTGATATTTCAAGATGACTGGCAAAGGCGTGTGAAGTACATCTTCTCTGGAAAATTTATACTTTAATCCAGATCTTTAGCAAAGGCAATATCTCTTCGATTATAAAATGTGTATCCCAATTTCAGAAATTAAATATATAAACATAATTAATATGATAATTCCATTAGGACCAACTTTTCAGCATTGTCAAATGTCTGTTTCAAATGAGAATCTTGAGACTGAAAGATTTAAAAGAACCTTCTGCATTCAGTTATTTTCATTTCATATAGTTTTGAGTGTCTTTTAGGTGAAGTATTTAAAAATTGATAATCCATATGCAGTAATATATTGTGAATTTTTTTTAAAGGTTTTTATTGTGGATTGAGTGAACATTTACAGCGCAGATCATCAGTTTTACATTCAACAAATCATA